TCTTATATATTGCCCTCTCCATCCATATGTGTACCTTCTAGGCAGTTAATTACTTCCCCTTTTCTCCCATCCCTGGTAACCATCAAAGAATGTTTCTTTTACTTCCTCCTTATTTTTCTCAACTCCATGGCATAGTGTTTTGATAAATTTTGTAATCCTTTTTCTGAATTCCTTCTCAGGCATTTCCAAAGCCTGCCCATCTTCCAGTATGGAGTGTAGGTCTACTTCCAGCTCATTTGCCTCAGTCACTTTATCTTGTTTCTGGACATGTGCAGATATGGTCATCTACTTCTGTGCAGATATGGTCATCTGTGGCCTTAATACTTAGATAGGTTTGTATTTTGGTATTTTTTATGCTTTCTGATTGCCTCCAGGTAGATGTGATCAGGAAATGGGCTTCCCTTTTCACTCTTCTTCTTGAGAAATTTCAGGATGCCACTGTTGGTTGTTTTGACGTAAGTAAGGATTTAATTTTCGCCTATTGCCTTTTTGTCTGGTTGTCCCACTCCACAGTCCCCGTTCAGGCCTTTTTTCTAGTTATAAACAGTTTGGGGCCAACTGTGGCCGTTTGGTTTTAATTGGAAACTGTCTCTTTAAATTTTGAGGAGATCTGTGTGCATGCGTAGTAGAACCCTCTGAAGGTGGGGCTGGGGTGCCCACTAACTCAGGTACCCCTATAGTCACCAGAATGGAGGTGCACAGACAGCAAGGGACCAATAAACAGCTACCAAAAGAAAAGAATGTCCACACCTTTATCTCTGTGGTTCTGCCAAGCGTCTGTGTCCGCTCCGATCCTTCCCCCGGCTTGGTCTCACCCAAGATGGCGGCTCCTGGAGCAACTGAGCGTCCCAGACTAGAAAGCAGTGGATTTCTTGCTTCTGCCAAAAATTCCCCTAGCTGTAAGCCTTCCAACCTTCTAAATATTCCTTTATATGTGGTTCAGAGTTCTGGGACCATCCCCTGAGCCTGTTTGGTTGGATATTCTCTGTTGTTGCTGGCAGAGCTCTTTACTGCACTTCCATCTGATCCGCCATCTTGTTTGTTCTAGAATGTTTCTTTTAGTATGACAACCTTTTCTTGAGTTTTTATACTTGTGGTCTCATACAGTATTTTGTGTGTGTGTGTGTGATTGATGAATTTCACTCAGCATAATGTTCACCAGGTTCATTCATGTTATGAGGATTTTCTTGGATTCACAATAATCCTTCAACATTGCATAGTATTTCATCATGTGTATCTACCAAAGTTTGTTTATCCATTCGTGCGCTGATGGACACTCAGTTGTCTCTATCATTTTACTATTGTGAATAGTGCTTTGGTGATCATCGGTGTGCATAAATCTACTTGTGTCATGGTTCTAATTTCTTGTAGATATATACCAAGTAGAGGGATTTCTGGGCCATATGGTATTTCTATTTCTAACTTTTTGAGGAATTGCCATACCTTGTTCCACAGTGTTTGTACCATTTACAGTTCACCAGCAGTGTAGGAGGGTCCCAGTCTGCATTTGCTGTTTTCTGGGGGTTTTGTTGTTGTTGTTGTTTTTAACTTTGCTGTTAATGTTGATGTGAGATGGTATCTCATTGTTGTTTTGATTTGCCTTTCTCTAATGGCTAATGTGTGGCACTGTGGGTTAATGTGCTGGGCTGCAAAGTCAGTTTGAACTGCAAGGTCAGCAGTTCAAGCTCACCAGATACGCATCAGAAACCCTATGTGGGGTCACTATGGGTTGGAACTGATTCGAAGGCACTTAACAACAACAAAACGTTTATTGATTATGAACATTTCTTCATATTTGTTGGCTGCCTGAATGCCTTCTTTGGTGAAGTGTCTGTTATTGTCCTTTGCCCGTTTTTTAAATTGGGCTGCCTTTTTCTTATCCAAGTATTGTAATTTTCTTTAAATTTTAGCGATTAGTCCTTTGTCTGATATGTCACCACAGAACATTTTCCCATCTCTGGGTTCCCGTTTTACTCCTTTGGCAAAATCTTTTGATGCACTTAAGTGCCTAATTATTAGTAGATCCCAGTCATCCATTGTGTTTTCTACTATTTATGTGTTTCTAGTTACATTTGACAGAGAATTTATGCCATAAATCAGATCCCTTAAATTTGTCCCTATTTTCCCATCGATGATCTTTATAGTTCTAGGTTTTATATTTAGGTCTTTAATCCACATTGAGTTTGTTGTTTTATATGGGGTGAGATATGACTCTAGTTTCATTTTTCTTCAAATGGAATTCCAGTTTTACCAGCGCCATTTGTTAAGCAGATTCTCTCTTCCCCATTTAATGTGTTTTGGCCCTTTGTCAAAGAGCAGCTGCCTGTATGTAGATGGGTTTACTTCTGTGTTCTCAGTTCTGTCCCATTGATCTCTATATCTATTGTTGTATCAGTTCCAGGCTGTTTCGACCACTGTGGCTGTGTGGTAGATTTTGAGATTAGAGAGTGAGAGGCCTCCAACTCAGCTCTTCTCCTTAAATTATGCTGTGCTTATCTGAGGCCTCGTTCCTTTCCATATAAAGTTAGTGATCAGTTTTCCCATCACTTTAAAGAATGACGTTGTAATCTGGATTGGGATTGCATTAGAGCTATAGATTGCTTTGGGTAGTGATGACATTTTCACAATATTAAGTCTTCCTCTCCATGAGCATGGTATATTCTTCCATTTTTGTAAGTCTCTTTTGATTTCTTGTAGTAGAGTTTTATAGTTTTCTTTGTATAGAGACCTCCACTTTTTGCAGTTGTAAAAAATATAGATTCCAATCCTGTTCTGTAGCAGACATCTAAGAATTCATGCTGTGTCCACAGTTTCAGGTTATAGGTGTGTCCCTCAAAAGCATTTCAGAAAAACAGGTTAACCTCCAGAGTCAAGAGTCTGACACATTCATATGCCTGAGTTGAAAGTTATATTAAAAAGAATGTCAGAAGACAACATGAAGGGAAAATTGTTCCACAAGGGGAAATACTACTGCTAGAACTCAAAGTGGAGGATGTTTGTAATATTCCTTTAGCTCCACGATCACACAGTTCTCGAGGTGAAACGGTCCATTTCAAAGGGAACATGAATGAGTCCAAAAATATAAATTCCTTTAAACTACATGAGGTCTAAGCATAACAAAAGTGAAATGCTGACTCTTTTCACTCACTAGAATATAAATAAGTGGAGTTTTGTGTCATATAAAATAGTCTGTGCAAAACAAGGATGTTCACTGCCTTTTGTGATAGACACTAAAGCACCTATTCTATGAATATGAAGCAGCAGTGTAAAATAATCTGGCAGTTTACTGTGTTCTGATCTGGAAAGATCTTACTACAAAAAGAAGGCACAGAATAGTAGGCATTACATGATCTCATATCTATGTACATATATGAATATATATATATATATATAGTTGTTAGTATATGCATACATATGGATTGTATGTCAATGTAAAGAAAACAAAAATCCTTACCACTGGATCAATAAATAATATCATGATAAATGGAGAAATGATTGAAGTTGTCAAAGACTTCATTTTGCCTGGATCCACTATCAACATTCATGGAAGCAGCAGTTTAGAAATCAAATGATGTATTGCATTAAGCAAATCTGTTGCACAATACCTCTTAAAGTGTTCAAGAGGAAGGAGATCAGTTTGAGGACTAAAGTCGATCCAACCCACGCCATGATATTTTCAATTGCCTCATATCCATCCATGTGAAAGTTGGACATTGAATAAAGAAGACCGCAGAAGAATGATGCATCTGAATTATGGTGTTGGAGAAAAACACTGGAAGTACCATAGACTGCCAGGAGAACAAACAGGTCTGTGTTGGAAGAGGTACAGCCAGAATGCTCCTTGGAGGCAAGGATGGTGAGACTTTGTCTATCATGCTTTGGACATACTATCAGGAGGGACCAGTCCCTGGAGAGAGATGTTATGTTTGGTCAGTGAAAAAGAGGAAGACCCCAGTGAGATGAATTGACACCATGACAGCAGCAATGGGCTCAAGTGTAACAACAATTGTGAGAATGGTGTGGGACCAGGCAGTATTTTGTTCTGTTGTGCAGACGGTTGCTATGCGTTAGAACCAACTTGATAGCACCTAACAACAACTTATGCATGCATATAAAAAAGGACTAGAAAGTAATACATGAAAACATTGCATTTGGGGAAGAGAAGGGAAGGGAAACTAGAGAGGAAAGGGAAATGTTTGTGGTTTTACTTTAAATTCCCATCCACACACTATCGGGAATGTATAGATTTAAGGTCTCAATAGAGCTCAGTAGTGGTTAACAGCATGGACTCTGAAGTAAAATCTGCCACAGTTTGAATCCCTGCTCCCCTACTTACTGTCTTTGCACTCATCAACAAGTTATTTAACTTTGGTGCCTCTCTTTACTCAAAAGGAAAAGAGGGGTAATAGAACTTCTGTTATGTAGTTATTAAGAGAACTAACTGATATATGGAAAAGCATACAAACCTAGCACATAGTAAACATCCTGTGTATATTAGCTGTTGTAAATTATAATATGTAGACAGCTTCTTGGAGTCCTGGTATGGCTCTATAGGATAAGCAAGCACTGGCTGCTAACAAGGTTGGTGGTTCAAACCCACCAGCTGGTCCTCAGAAACCCTATATAGAATTGCTGTGAGTCAGAACCAACGCCATGGCACTTTAACAACAACAGTCAGCCTCTAGCTATAATCAATACTCTGTGTAAACATGTCATTTAAAAATGTTTTCAGTGACAGCTTTAGTAATCAGTGAATTTTTTCAGTTTCATGGCAGCTGTTAATGGTATTTTCTTTTTTTAACCCGCTAGTATTATTCACAATTTCAAAAGAAGCAATAACAAACATATACAGAATTATCTTATTTTACATAATGTGCTCTGGATTCAGCTTGTGGAATACTCCTGTATTTGCTTCTTTGACCATGTAAGCTGATGTGTACATCATTATTCAACTATAGAACTGTAAACAGGAAATAATGAGGTGTATCTTTCTTCCTTAGGAAGACTATGATCGTCTGAGGCCTTTATCCTATCCTATGACTGATGTCTTCCTTATATGCTTCTCTGTGGTAAATCCAGCCTCATTTCAAAATGTGAAAGAGGAGTGGGTACCAGAACTTAAGGAATATGCACCAAATGTCCCCTTTTTATTAATAGGAACTCAGGTATGTCTGCATTGATTTCACCCATTTAAGAAGAATCTCTGTGGCGTATTTTGCGGGAGGAGATGCTTTCAAATGACCCTAAAAGTTAGCAAATAATACCAGTGACTAATCTCAGCTGACCGTTGGTTGCAAGGTTGGGGGTTGATTTTAATTAAGTTTTTTGTTTAATCCTTTTTTTAAATGTGGGGATTAAATGGGAGTGTGTGCTTTGACTTATCTTTAAAGGTATGTAATATTATGGTATCTTATCGATCTTTCTTAATTAGATTGATCTACGAGATGATCCCAAAACGTTAGCAAGACTGAATGATATGAAAGAAAAACCTGTATGTGTGGAACAAGGACAGAAACTAGCAAAAGAGGTAAATGGGCCATCCATGGAATGTAAAAGAAGTTAAAATAGTGATAGAAACTTAACAATGATTGTGCATTTACTGTATGTGAAGACCTGTGTTCTGTGCTCTATATACATTCTCTCATTTAATCCTTGCACTAACTGTGAGAGAGATCTACTTCTCCCAGTATTTCAGAAGGGGAAGGGAAATAACTTGTCTGAGGTCCCACAGAGCTGGATTTCAGTGCAAGACCTGAGTGTAGGGCCCAGAGTCTTAGAGTAGACTTCTCCACTCCTGTCTTTGTCCCTCCTAATGCTGCTATCACACAATACTGCACATAGGTGGCAGTAAAGAGCAGATTTAGTTCCTCACAGTTCTGAAGGCTGAAAGTCCAAACCAGGCTTGGAGGTGCTGTTGTTAAGTGCCATCAAGTCAGTTCCGACTCATAGCGACCCTGAATAAGGTATCCGAGGACTGGCTGTGGGTTTGAACTGCCGACCTTGTGGTCCAGTGCATTATCCTGCAGCGCCACACCAGCAATCCTCATATGGCCTGAATCTCCCCCTGTGTTTGTTTGCATGTACGTCTGTGTCTACTGTGCCTTTTTTTAAAACTTAATAACTCAGACATGATTGTATTTAATGTCTACCCTATGGTCTAAATAACATTAATAAATAAATAAATAACCCTATCTCTAAAGAGGTACATATATACAGGTACAGGGTTTAGGATTCTGTCACATTTTGAAGGGGTCACAATTCAATCTATAAAAACTGCCAACAGCATTTTCTTAATGTAGAAAAAGAAGCATCAGAAAACAGTGGTGATGTTTTAAACCTTCCTGGATCATATAAGCGTTGATATTGTGCCAAGTCAGTCAGTTTTCAGTTGAGACTCATGGATTAGGTAGTGGAATGTCAGAGGATGCCAGTTTAAATCTGTGCTTAAAAACAAAGAATTATGACTAGCTTTGAAAAGAAATGTGTTGAATTTTCTTTCACTCCTTATGAAAAACCACTGCCATCAAGTCAATTCTGACTCATAGTGACCCTCTCTATGCGGTTTCCAAGACTCTAAATCTTCACGAGAGCAGACGGCCTCGTCTTTCCCCCAAAGAATGGCAGGTGAATTTGAACCACTTACATGAAAAAAAAACACCCCAGCATTCTTTATAACAGTGATGTGTATACTACTTTTAATTTATATTCTCCATTGCCCCAAAGCTAGTTTAACCTGTTTGCTTTTTTTCCCATTTGGTCCTAATATTATTGGGTTCTATTTTTAAAATTTCGTGACTTTCATAGGACTTTTGTGAAAACAGAATCTGATATGGTCTTTTTCAGTCTACTGTCAGGAGGCAGAAGAAAGCAAAGAAAAAATTTTAGAGGACTGTTTTCCTAAAGCAATAGATAAATGACTTCACTAACAAACCACTTTAGGAGTTTCATATGCTCAAATTTGTAATCTTGGGGAGAGAACTTTCTTAACATGTCCTAAAAGTAAAAGTCATAAATGAAAATAGTGATGATTTAACTATAGAAGAGTTTAATACTCCCTCAAATGCATTAAAGAAAACCAGAAGTTATATAGCAAACTTGACTATATGGAAAAAAAAATCCTTTGCTTACAGGAATGTTTTGCATAAGAATTAATCAGAAAAATACATACCCCAACATAAAAAATGGACTAGGAACACCAATGGAAAATTCACCACTACCACCACGCCAAACTTTAAATTCAAGTTGCCATAGAGTATAGAAACTAAGAGTAAATTCATTAGTAGTCAGTTTTTTTCACCTACAAAATTGTTAAACTTCAAGAAATAAATTATAATATGCATTATTACTCAGGGTACCAGGGAATGGGCAGTCTGTTGGATGTGTGGTTGAGTAAAAGTAATCTTAATGAGCATTCTGACAATATGCAAAATCCTTAAAATCGTACCCAGTATTTTGAGAAGTTTTCATAATCTGGAAGGGTATATACACTAATATTTTAACAGTTAGCTATCTCTGGATATTATTAATTTAGATGATGCCTTTATTCTTTATATTAAGGGTTACTGTTGTTTTTGTTGTTAAGTGCCAATGAGTCGGTTCCAACTCATAGCAACCCTGTATGGGGTTTCTAAGGAGTGGCTGGTGAGCTTGAACCGCCAACCCTGCCGTTCAAAACAACCTTATAGTCCAGCGTATTATACCACAGCACCACACCAGGACTCCTTCCCCACCCCCAGCTTTTCCTACATTTAAACTTACTATTGCCTTAATGACTTCTCATATCTATGATGGCATTCTGTTAATTTTCTTACAATGGTAGATTTGTTAGTATCAGCTTTCTAAAGATTTTATGTTTATGATTTCTTTTTCCTTCTTCCCAGATAGGAGCATGCTGCTATGTGGAATGTTCAGCTTTAACCCAGAAGGGATTGAAGACTGTTTTTGATGAGGCTATTATAGCTATCTTAACTCCAAAGAAACACACAGTAAAAAAAAGAATAGGATCAAGATGTATAAACTGTTGTTTGATAACGTGAGAAATGTCTTCAGTGGCCAAGGAAACGTGTCTATTTGTCTCAGAAAGCATATGAAGTACTACAGCTCTACACAGACCTCTTGTAGATAAAGTAGTTTAAAACTTGAGGGGTAGGAAAAACAAAAAAAAAAACCCTGCCCTCATAAGTTATAGATTTCATTAAGAATGTTTCTTAAAGGTCCAAGAAGCAGCAAACAGCATCTGAAGCCACAATCTACTATAAATACTTTATTTCAATAGAAGGTACAATCTCTCAGGGGTTTCATAGTTTAAAAAGCTACAATCACATCATGTTGTATCTACATTAAAAAACACATACGAAAACAAAACAGTGCTGTAAATGGAACTGCTTGACTCTCACCAATAACATTTCTGCACAGTCTTTATGGAATCTGCACAAAGAAATATCTCCTCCTTTTGCTTCAATTAATTGTTCTTATATGTAAGTTGCTTTCTATTCCAGTATATCCAGAGTGGTGAGATAATAAGGCCAGCCACATAGCCAAAGGTTGCTCCAAGTGTGCAGGAGATGGGCCACACCTGAGGAGACAATGTAGATGGAAAAAGAACCAATGTTTTATTATTACTTGAGCACAAATTAAGTGTAACCTAAATATTCCTATATTAAAATGTAACGTACTTTCGTAAAGAATGCCAAAAGTGTCATGAGGTCATAACTGCATTTATCATGAACACTAAAACTACACATTCTAGTTAGTGTGCATTATACTGCAACGAGGCTTCTGGCAACTGTAGATTTAGTTTAATGCTCCTAAAACTGCATGAGATACATGCTACAATTACAAATTAAAATTGGGGGTCACACTTTGCCACAACCCTGGACTCAATTTAGCTTTATGGACTAGCTGGTAAATGTTTTCTTAATCTGCCCCCCCCCACTGGCAGTATACATCAAATGATACAAGGAAGTGTATGTGTACTGACCCCTCCCCCCAGGAACTTTAGGTTGTGTTCAAGAGAAAAGACCTAGAACTCTAGCATGCTGCATGGAGTTTACAGCAGGGCAGCTGCTTCCATGATATAACTGGTATCACCTTTCAGAGCAATATTGGAATTATAACAGAAGTTACAGAGCTATTCTGAGTATAAGTTATATAAAATACTGACTTTCATATACCACCTTTCTTCAGCCATATAACAGTTTACAATATTACATCAAGTCAGAAATGAAAAATACTGACATTTCTTCTGCAAACAGTGCATGTTGGGCTCTAGGTGAAAGGTTCTTAAAAAATCATCAGAGACAAAATGTTCTTCATTTCTGATGCTTCTTTGGTCAACCAGAGCCAGGTTTAATTGCTCTTTGGTGGAACAGGCCACAGAACTGTGTTGGAGGCGAACCATCTTCAGAACTAAGTCTATTACCTAATTAAGCTTTCTTGGGTCTCATGTGGATTTGCCTTATTCCAAATGCCACGCCACAGACAAGAGTGTTAAGAGTTTCAGTGTGAACAAATTAATGCAATTTTTTAGAGAAATATAATCAAACCATAATCCCAGCTGGTACCCCGCTCCCCCAGCTTTTCTTACATTTAAACTTCCTATTGCCTAAACTATGAGTTCTTGTGTCTGTGATGGGATTCTGTTAATTTCCATGACTTGAGTTTATAGCTGTATCTATTGCACAGATTGCGTAATGGAACACTAAACTTTTATACTTGAAAATGACAGCCTTAAGTGCTCATAGCAGTCACAAATCTAGGATGAACTGTCTTGCTGTATGTCAGCTTTGTATAGATTTTTAACAAAATAAGCATCATCTTCCTCATCGAAGAATGGAGAGTCTACTGGATAACTAGCCAGAAGCCTTCTCACTGAACAGGACATTGGATGTCTTCTTTCTCTCAAGAAGTCGTGGTTCATATTAAGTCTCATGGCCTTATGTATGCTCAAACAGAATCTTATGTAACTTTTCCCTTTAGTTTCTGTTTTTAGATAGAATTGAAAAGAACTGTATAAATCAATTAGTATATTAGCTAAGTTGTCCAATATGTGGTATAAAGGAACTACGTAAGACAGTAAAGTATTATACATTTCCAACTTGCCTTTGGGGATTTGATGGGTTTTGTTTTGTTTTTTCCCTTCCAATTCACAGTTCGAAAACCCTTCACACTTGATTTACTAGCCACTGAAGGTTAAAATCTCAATGTGTCCTGCCCTGCAAGAAATGGAGTAGGAATCTGCAAATGAGCTGTGGTGCCACTTGTTTTTGACTGGACCTCAGTGTCCTCGTCTCTACCGTCTCTCCCATTTATCAGCTCGAATGATTCTCCTCTTTCGTATTAGCAATACCATTGTAGGACATTACTTTTTCTGACTCACGTTCTTAAGAAGGTAAAAATCATGTAAATAGCTCACTAGAACTCTAAGCCAGGATGATTGCATCATCTGAACCCGAGGTGCCTTACATGTGCTAGACTGACCTTGATGGGATTTGGAGTTTTCCATCACACAGGAAGAGTTTTCTCACTGTTTTGGTTCTTTATTTCTTTTTACAAAACTCTTCCTGCCATTTAATTTAAAATCAAAGGTTCATTTTCTGTTCATTAAAAAAAACTGCGGTACTTTCAGAAGCAGTTCTTCATAAAAGGCTTAGGTTTCAATAAAGGTTCAGACTCATCACTGACATCTAGTTTAAAAAATCTGGAAAATAAAATACTTTAAAAGACTTTAATAACATAAATTTTGCTAGTGAATGCAAATACATTGCTTCAAATACGGTCATGTACAAGAGGGCTCCAAAACGCTTGTGGAAAAATGGAATGAAAAGATAGTTCAACTCTTTGAAGCCCCCCTGGCCATGAGTGAGCTTAAGCCACATATATAGTTCATATTTTGCATATAGAAAAGCAGTTCTAAAGTTTTTAAACAAAAATAATTTTAAGGTTTTCCTAAATTCTTATTTAATACTTTGCTAATTTATACCCTTCCTTATCCTATCTTCTAACTGTATTATTTTAGGTCCACCCATGATGAGTTACCAAATCCTCATCAAGCAGACCCTGAATGAATGGTTGTCAGGAAGTATCTTAGTTACTGAAGACACTGCTTCCATTTGACTTAGTTATTAATTTTAAATACCAAACTGATGATTGGTTCCTTGGTTGTTGCTTTTTAAATGACTGTTACTTTAACAATGTCCAATCTTAACACATGGGATTTACAAATAAAATAATATGCACAGTTTACTATTTATGTAAAGGATTGAACTTCTTACCTTAGTAGTTTTTATTAACACCCTTAAATAAATATTTGGGATAACATTCTTCCCCATTTTCCATGGGTGAGCCCCGGCACTGTGTTAGAGAAGAGTGCTGTCAAAGTGTAAGGGAGAATGCTGTCCCTCATGCGGCCCAGCCAGATGCCAATGTGGGTTAGGAAATTCTATTTTAATCACTTCGCAAATTGAGTATGGCTCCTTTCCACTTCCCCTCTCAACACATACACACCACAGTCACACACATTCTTTACACAGCTGCCATACTTCATCTTTAGTGGAATGAGAAAATGAAATGTGGATCAAAAAGCTTTGTTGAATAAAGGGTTAAGACTTAGTTGCTTTCCAAGATGATGTTAGTCTCAAGAAATCCATGCTACCAGCAAAGCAAAACAACAACAACAAAAAAAAACCCACTGGGCTGACTTCTAGGACTGTTTGCTAGTGACGACCAGGCTTTGTATTTAAAAGATTACCTGCTTGACACTCCTGAAATAAGCAGTCCTTAATTGCAGTCATTTTCAAAAGACTAATTTTTTTTTTTTTTAATTTAAGGACCAGTTCCCCAAACTAGAGAATGGCAAAAGGGCAGTTGAAGGAGTTGGAAAGTTGCTCAATAATACTCACTTCTTGGAATCTCTGAGTGGCACAAATGATTAAGCACTTGACTATTAACCTAAAGCCTAGCAGTTCAAACCCACACAAAGCACCTTGGAAGGGAGGCCCAGCAATCTGCTTCCAAAAGGTTAGTTTTGAAAACCATGGAGCAGTTTCCTCTGCACATGTGGGAGTCGCCAGGAGTTTGGATCAAACCCGACAGCAACTCACAACAAGCAATTTTCTACTCTTTTATAATGAATCCTGGTGTGGCACTGTAGGATAATTCACTGAACCACAAGACTGGCAGTTCAAAATCACCAGCCACTCCTCAGTAACCCTATACAGCGTCGCATAAGTCGGAACCGACTCGATGGCACTTAACAACAATGGCAACAAATTCATCATATTAATTTGCCAAACAATCTTAGTTTAATCCTGTATTTTCATACTATTTCCTTGCCTCACACAAAGACATGTTTCTATCTAACAGTCTTCATGCCACAAATAGGATTCTAAGCTAATATGCTATCTGTTGAACAGACAATTCAGCTGCATCGCTATATACATTTCTCCAAATTATGGTAATCTGAGATGGCTCTATATGATTATCTTGTTTTGTTTAATGAAAATAGAAAACTTAGAACAAAGACATTCACAAAAAAGAAGTCACGCACAAGAATTTGCCACCAAGATAACAGTCTTCTTCCTTTTTATCCAGCTTCTCACAAACTTAAGTGTTGTTTTATTAAATCATTAAGTTGGAGACACATTTTGCATAACAAAATATATTACAATGTAAGTGCAAAATTATCAAGATCACCATTAAACAAGAAAATCTATTTTAAAAATAAGCTACATCATGTGAAAAAAAAAGAACTTCGTAGAGTACTGTAATTATCCTCTCCTTCCTTTAAATCCACTCTTAATTATCTTTCATCACTTACACCAAAAAAGACCAATGTTCTCAAGATAATCATAGTGAACATTAACAAAGAACTTCTCTTACACAACACAGAAGATATTTTTCTCTCAAATAAAACTCAATCTATAAAAAACTTAGGAGTCCTGGTGTGGCGCTGTGGGTTAATGTGCAGGACTGCAGAATCGGTTTGAACCGCAATGTCAGTGGTTCAAGCTCACCAGTTGCTCCTTGGAAACCCTATTGGCTGGAACCAACTCGACGGCACTTAACAACAACAGTAATACATTTAAAAATTCATAAGATAGGTGCAAACTTTGTATGCTGTTATACAAATCAATATTATTGCTGGTTGAAAGGCACTTCAAAATTATAAAAGCTTAGTTCTACCTGAAGATCACAAGGCTCTCTTCTGATCAGGCATTACTATATAAAATTCTCTGGAACTCTATAGATGTTGCTTGACCCTTTCCAATGCAGTACAGAGTAAGATTACCAACACCAATTTTGGTGCTATGAAGACTGAATTTAAGCCTTGGCTCTGCATGGGACCCTGGGCAAATCGCTCAACCTTTCTGTGCCTTGTTTTTCTTGTGAACAAAAAGAAGATTATAATAAAGTCACCTCGGGGTTGTAGTAATGATTAAATGAAATAATGCACCATGTAGTATATAGTATAGTATCTAGCATATAGAGTCCTGGTGTGGCACTGTAGGATCAGCACTGGACCTCAAGGTAGGTTTGAACCATGAGGTCGGCAGTTCAAACTCACCAGCCACACCACAGAAACCTTATGCAGGGTCACTATGCGACGGAACTGACTTGATGGCACTTAACAACAACAAATCTGGTATATAGTACAAGTAACCAATACATGTTCATTATAACTATTAATAATTGTTTTATG